CACACAGTAATTATATAGAGGTGATAGATAAATTATTTAGCTTGATTGTGTTCATCTTTTCTCGATGTGTACACATATCAAAACATCAAGTTGTATACCTTTAATATATATTTTTACATTTCAAAGATATCACAACAAAGCAGTGAAAGAAAATTGTGAAGGAATAAACACTTCAGAAAGGCGATTGAACTAACCACATAAGGAATTTTTAAGTAAAGAGAGCCAATTGTTACAGAATCCCAGCATGGCTAGGAAAGGGTATGGACACCAAACACATTTCAACAGTTTTTATTCCAACAAACAGGTTTATGGGATAAACCAAGCTATAAATTGGTCCCAAACATTCAGTCATTGGCCTTCGTGGATTCTCCCCTTGAAAGAAGATCAGATCTTGGAACAAAACATTCCTCTAAGATATATGACCTGGAATATTAGAAGTTTTGGTAATACATTTAGACTAGGCTTTGGCCCAAAAAGTCAAAGGAAGGCAACCGCAAATTCTCAAACATAAATCCCAAAATGTGAAACCTCCTTTAACACAATGAAAAGACCACCTCGTATAAAAGACATGAAGAGTCAGGCCCACTCTGAACTTGTATATCTTTCCTTTAAACAAAAACTCAAACATTTCCAAGGAAAACAAGGCTGATAACATGCAATACTAGATGAAGAAAAACAGATTAATCCTGCTTTGGGCCTCACTTGAACTGAAAGTTCTGAAACGTCTTGAAACAAGCCTTAATTAGATGTATGACAGAGATGAGATAACTTGAAAAAAAATATTTGTTTAAGAAGCTAAACTTAACATTAACTTTTTTCTTTTGCTGTTTATTATTATGTGGTATAGAAATTAATTGCTAACTAATGTTTATGTTAGTGTTAACTATCAATATTTTTATTGAAGAAAAATTGTTTGCAATTAAAAAAAAAAAACAACCCAGAAAAACTAGCCCTCTCTCCCTTAGCTCAATTATTGTGAAACGAGGTGACTAGAATGATCTTCCTCATTCCTGCAAGATAAAACTCCTTGAAGTTATTTATTTTAATTTTCTGTGTTTATATTGAGACCATTGTGGCAGCCATATCCCTTTGGAATAACATCATAATCTTACTTTTTTAGGCACCTCCATGGTGTGATGATTTTATCTTTTGTTTATCTAACAACTTTATTCAACTCAAAATTTATTAACTTTTAAAAAGTGCTTTCATAGTTTCTAGATAGGCTGCATTTTCCTCTTTGGATATATAGAAATTTGACATGCCCTTCCTTTAATCCCTTGGGATTTAATAAAATATTTACATTTTTAATATATTAATTCATTCATTAAGCCATCCTACTAACTAACCTGCATATCAACGTGGCATTTCATAAAATAAAAAAGGTCATAAAAGACCTTTAGACCTTCTTCAGTCACCAATGCAACGGATGACATCACATTTAAGAGCATCAGCTATCTGACCCACTGCCATCTCAGATAAAGAGCAGTTTCCCCCATTGACCTTGGTCTTGGCATAGACCTACTACCGTGGTATATATCACATTAAAACACACTGTTCTTAAGAGCCTTATGCATCTGGAACTCCTTACGGGCAAAACTAAATTAACTGGCTGAAGACAAACCTAGAGCTCTCAGAGACAGATCTCCAGTATCAAATTCTAAAAAATATGCTTAAGTAATTTAGGTTGAAGGAGGATTGTTTCCACTAAAGAACATACACTAGGTAGGTCACCGAGGGAAATGAATTTGCTAAAACTGTTATTTCAGAGTATTTAATGGGAAAGGTGAGGAACTGGAAAGAGAAGAAGCAGCTTTTCTGGTTGTGGATATATTATTTAATTCGCTTGAAATAAAATGAAGAACCATCATAAAGGACAAATAGAGAGTCTGTTTTCTAATTAAAATAAAAGCAGACACTACATAGTGCCACTTGGTTATACATTAGCAGAATTACTCAATAAAGCATAATATAATCTTATGGAAATTAGTAAATGCTGTAGAAAAAAGTTGATACAGTGCCTTTCTTCAGTGCTCAATACAGGGTTTCATACAAAGAGAATTATCAAAGCTTCACAATCAGAAATTGGGAATATCAAGCACTGCTTACTTTCTGTGAGCCTCGGGGAAAGAATGAGGAAGACGCCAAGGGAAGATTTCTGCTCAGTATCTCCCAGGTCAGAGGTTTCCCCAGCATTAAAGACTGCCCATTGAGAGTGAAGGATTTAATATTTAACACTTGTCTGCATTTTTACTCTGTTTTTCCTCCACTGATTTTTGTATCCCTGTATCCACAGAACAATCAGAGAAGATGTTATCTGCTCAGAAGGTTAATCAAGCCTCCTTACAAGCTCCCAGTCCATAGGAAACATCATGAACTCCAGAAGTTGAGTAGTTATCTATTGAATAAAATTGCATATTGTAGCTCTCTTTACAATTTTACCATGTTGGTAGTAGAATAGTTTTTAGGTGGTAGAGTTAAAAATATTACAACTAAATGTGCTCTAAGAGAGCATAGGACCAGGGCTAAGAAACTTGGCCTGGTAGGTTAATTCAACAATGGATGGGATTTATTTCAGCTGAAGTTGAATGCCTACCATTATACTATGACACACACATAACCCAGTTACCTGCTGGGTTTTAGAAACACATACATTCATGGTCTCTGATCTTTCCCATTAGAATAAGTTGACTGAACTAAATTTAAATTCTGCTACATCTGTGGAGCAGAGATGAGCGAAAAGTCATTAAGTTCATTAGCCATTATAAAACAAATATGAAAGCCATAGACCAAGCATGCCAAATTCATGGCCCACGGGCTGCATGCCTCGTTTATTTGGCTCCTGTTAGCCTTTGAGTTTGACACGCTTGCCATAGACCATCATGGTAGATTGCAAAAATGATCTCAATCCTTAACCCTCCCTACATGGCATGCTTTCCATGTAATAATTTTGCTTTCTCGCTTTGACTCTAGTCTTGGCAGATGACTTATTTGACCAATGTGCATTTAAACAAATCATAACAGGATTATTTATCTGTACCCCAGCACATGTTTTGACACCATTCTTCAATATGGGTTGTGTTGTGAGGTCAGTTTACACTCAGCTGTACGGTTCTGTCTCTCCTGGGTCAAATGACACATATGTCAATTCAGTCGTTCAGTCCGTTCTTTCCGTATTTCTTTATGTTCTTACTGGATTTGGAAATGCCATCTGTTTGGCAGCTCCTCCCTTCATCAAGTCCCTAGAAAACTGGTGGTCCACTCCACTCCCATTTTATACCTTCCTTTCTAGCCCAGTATGCGCTTACTGGATGTAATTTGAAAGTCAATTAGAGATATATATTCCATAAATTTATAATTCTAGAATTCATATTCCATTTCACATAACACCAATATTTGGTAAAATGTGGAATGACAGAGTTTTACTTGTGATATTAATTTATTCCTTAAGTGGCTTCTCAGCCTCTCACTCAATAAAATATTCTCACAGCGTTACATTCACTGAGCCAACATGAACGTTCCCATGCATTTCTTCCTAGCTTTGTAAGACACATGTTTTGGCTCATCCCTAAAGAACACTCAAGCATGCTAATTTGATAAAGCTGCATAATACGAACATTCCAAATTTGTACGCTTTGGCCTTGCTGGTGGATGTTTATTATCAGTTATGCCTCAGAGTGCTATCACCACGTAGCATCATGTAGTGCAGATGAAGAGAACAGGTGAAACAAAAAAAGGAAAGGTCTATTGTTCCCAGCTCAGGGATCTGGTTTGATATGAAGCTGATCTCTAAAGAAGATAAACAAATTTGGCTACAACCCAATAGACCCATCTTCCATGCAGACCCAAACATCAGAAGAGCTAAAGACCAGAATAACTCTGGTTTCCTTCAACATAGCCCCTTTGGCCATTTTTTTTTTCAGGGTATATCATGTCCACTGGACCTGTGTCTAGAACTAAAATAGTCTTCAGTGATCATTGGATCCAGTGAAGAAACATCTGTTGAGCTCTTAATATCTGTCAGAGCCTATGCAGGACTGGGGGTTACAAAAGGAATAAGACTAGACCCTGCTTTTCAAGAAATTCTTACTCCTGTTAGAATAAGTTGGCGTTTTCCTGAACTTACACCTCACCGCTTTCTGCTGTTTATGAAAAGTCTAGAAGAAACAGAGGTGTATGTTTTTTCCTTCTTCTGTTTCATGCTTCATAATATGTAATAATTTTGACCACCTTTTGCTTGCCACATATAACACTTTTTACTGTGGAATAAAACCTTTCTTTGAAAAATATTACCAGGATACCTACTCTATACTTTAGAGTTTGGAGAAAAATCTACTCACAGACCACACAACTCAAGAAGTGGCTATGAATTATTATTGTAAGTAAAGACTTTCCACTGTAACACCTTGGGCCTTTTCTTTTCAGTTGAGAAGCCATTAACCACGCTCACTTCCACCTTCATCCAAACTCTCACTATGCATGCCCCGACTCCCACTGCTTATTTATTCCTCCAAAACTCCGTATAATCAAAATCCATGAAAATGAATGACCTTGGGAAATTTTTGGCCATTCCAATATCTAAAACACTAAACCAATATACCGTTCATTTGCAAAGGATTTGGTAACATTGGAATCCAACATACACTTTATTCATGTTCATATCGTTGCTATTATTGTCACTATGATTAAAACAGCAAAAAAAATATGATAGAGAACTAAAGGTACTAGGTCGGTCCATTTCTGTTAAGTTCTCCTCCTAGTTCTAACCTAAAAATATTATCAAAATTTGCTTGGTAAACGAGATAATTTGTGTATTGCTTATTATATGAGTGCATAAAATACTTAGCTGAAGATAGACATATTTAATTATTTGTACATTCTTTCCACCCCTTCATCTGGATTTGTTTGCAACAAGAAGCTCTGCGTAACCCCAACCACAAGCGCAGGTCTTGAGCCTGCTGCCTCTGGGCCTTACAAAGGCCCCCGGTGGGTATAGGACTTACTTGCTGCTGAGACAGCGTCTTAATGAGTAGGAGGCGCCCCCACCACAGGTGCGTGAACACTCGCTCCATGAGCCCCAGGCGTCCCACAGGCTGTCTCTGTCCTCCTCGGAACGTGTTGTTCTGGAGCTCTGTGGGAAACAAGAGGATGATCAGTCTCAGGTCCTCAACGAACTTTGAAACACATGACCTCACACGCTGGTGGCCTGTACGCCTGTACATGGTGGGCTTTCTGGGGAGGAAAGCATGCATCTGCTTCTTTCCAACATAGTAATGTATGTATGTTAGGGGAGAAGACTATTTCCGCTTAGGGACCCTAGGTAACGACTAATAGAGTACATGGAAAAGGGGGCCAAAAAGAAGAATCTGGCTTAGTGGGAGGTAAATTGCAAGAAAGTCACAATTTTGGCCAGAGTTCATGAGTCAACTTTTCATCTCTTTGTGAGGAGAGAAGCTGCTCTCAGGGAGGCTTCTGCTCTGGGAAACTGGGCATGTGCATACCAGCACTGCTTTCCAGAACAACTGTTTATGCAGTGGTTTGTTTTTTTTTTTTTTTTTTGTCTGTTTTTTTTAAAGAAGCAATGTTATTCTCAGTTTTCAGATTTGTTCATGAAAGTAACTGCATGGAGTGACTTAGCAGAGACTGATTCAGACAGATTGACACTTATTACTGACAAGCTTCCCCATGAAAGCTGCATCTGCTATCAGGAAAGTTGTTACACACAGGCCTAATGTTGTGCTTCACGTTTCATACATGGAAGAATCAAGGATAAAATCTGCACTATGGTTAATAAAACAGGCTCTGGAGTTAAAACTGTTCAGTTTGAATATGGATTCTGGTTTTTACTGTGAACCTCCTTACACTTCAATTTCTCTTTCTAGAAAAGGGTGATAATGTTGTAGCTACACTACCTCCCATGTATACACACACACACACACACACACACACACACACACACACACACACACACACTAGGAAGATTAGCTAAATGAACTTAGCCTAGAATTAGTTCCAGAGTAAAGCAATCAATTATAAATAGTACCTGTGTATGAGAATGTCACATATGTATTTACATATAGTTATGCTAGTCTTCTGAGTTATAATAACAAAATACCAGCCTGGGTAGCTTAAAAACAACAGAAATTAATTTTCTCACAGTTTTGGGAGATAAAAGCCCAAGACGAGGATACCAGCATGGTTAGTCCCTGGTGAGAACTCTCCTTGTGGCTGACTTCTCACTGTGTGCTCACACCATCTCCACTTTGTGTTAGCATAGAGTGTGAGCAAACTGGCTGGTGTCACTTCTGAAAAGAGCACTAATTCCATCATGAGGGCCCTACCCTCATGACCTCAGCTAACCCTAATCACCACCCATAGAACCCATCTCCAAATATCATTATATTGAGACTTCAACATATGAGAGGGTGAGACTGAACTCAATTCAATCTATAGCAACAGTTCTACAAATAGCTATGTAAATTGTGGCCAAATCATTTTACTGAATAAATGTGATAACTGAATATTAAAGGTGGTAGCTTCTCATGTTAATCAAAGACATACATAGGACAAATATTTGAAATTTCAAAACTATATTTATAAAAACCAAATCATTAAGAAAATGTGCATGTCAGGCAATATGGCAATTTCATGTTCTGTTTTCTCCCTTAAGAAAGAGTGTAGAACACTGGGAAAGCCTGGGACAGAGAGTGACAGAAGGGTAACTGCTCATAAAGCACTTGAAAACTTGACATGATGTAAGTCAACATCACCAGCACACAGTAAGCTCATAAATGATAGCTCTTATTAGCATGTTTAAATTATTTTCTCATGCCCTGCCTAGTCATACTTAGGGTTATGTATGCAGGAGAGGCCTCTGGAAAAAGCAAAGAATATCCTCTCCTCCCAGAAAACTAAATCAGTTGTTGTGAGGCTCAGGTGCCAACTTGATGACTTCTTGTAAGTTTTAAACCTGGTTCAAATTAAGCCAGAACATGGCCTTAGAGCGCTGTATCAAGGGTTGGTTAATTGGCATGTGCTTTATTTAGATTGTTAAGTCATTTCTAGGGCCGATAGATAGTGGTTGAGAGCAGGGATAGTGGGCCTGCTCAGCCTGGGGTAGAATACTGATCTAGAGAATCCCTGAGGTCTCTTTATGATTCAGTTATTTCTAAATCATAAAATGGAGATAATAAAGATACATCACTGAAACATTATGAGGATTAAAATAGTTAATATGTATTTATATGCTTGTATGCATAACCTATGGACACAGATAGTAGTGCATTAAAGGCCTGGGGTGGGGCAGGAGCCAGGTTGAGGAGGATAATGGGGCAAAAATGGGGGACCATCTGTAATACTCTCAATAATAAAGATACATTTAAAAAATATATGAAAAGCACATAAAGTGGAAACAACCCAAATGTCCATGGGTAGATGAATGAATAAATAAATAAATTGTGGTATAAACATATAATGGAATATTATTCAGCCTTAAAAAGGAAGGAGATTCTGACACATGCTATAACAAGATTCAAGTTTTGAGGACATTATGCTCAGTGAAAATAAGCCCAACACAAAAGGACAAATATGATATGATTCCACCTATATGAGCTACCTAGAGCAGTCAAATTCATAGAGACAGAAATTAGAATGGTGGTTGCTAGGGGCTGGAGAAATGGAGGAAAGGAGATGGATACAGAGTTTCAGTTTGAGAAGATGAAAATAATTCTGGAGATAGGAGGTCTTGATGGTTGCACAATAATGTGAATGTACTTTCATGCCACTAAACTATATACAAATGATCAAAATTGTAACTTTTATGTTATGCATATTATACCAAAACAAAAAAGCATATATATATATATATTTTAAAAAAGCTTATATATATATATTTTAAAAAATGGGGATTAAATAATAAACACTGTATAAGCATTGGATGCTATTATTACTTAACACTAGAGGCCTGGTGCATGAATTCATACAAGGGTGGCATCACTTGGCCTGGATGGCGATTGAGGCCTATGAGGGGCGGGGGAACTGGCCAGTGGTGGAAGGGATTCCAGGAGGTAGGCCAGCTGGCCCCCAGATCAGGGCCTATGGGGAGGGTCAATGGGCTGGGGGGAGGGACCGAGGAAGGTTGGCCCACGGGGGTTAGGGGGTGTGGAGCCTGCTGGAGGTTGGCCAGGAGTGGGGAGGGGCCATGGGAGGTTGGCTTTGGGAGCATACTGACAATCTGGGCAGCAGCTACTGCATTTAGTGTTTGCCCCCTGGTGGTCAGTGTGTGTCATAGCGACTGTCCAATCAGTCTTTCATTTAGTTGTATCAATTGCTTAGGCTTTTATATATATATATATATATATATATATATATATATATATATATGACTTATTCACATAATTTATAAACATATTTGGGCTCAAAAAGGCTCTAGGAGGTATACTGGGAAGGTACACATATTTTTTTTCTTTTTCCTGAGTCCAGTTGAGACACTGTACTCCTAAGGGATCATCTCTGAAAATCATGACTTCCCGCAGTAGAACCTCCCAGAGACCTACCACATTGCTTGGCCTGGAAACCTGACCTGCCAGGAGTTTGAGGTGGCATAGAATGGGTAGCAGAAACACACTGGTTATTGCAAAGCCTGGCCTTCCTAAAGGAAGTATTTATTGAGGTTTAGGATTAATAAAATCAGTCTCCACTCATGGCAATGTGGGGTACTCTGTTTCCAGAGCTTCATTAAGTAGTGAGGCAAAGAAAGCTTTTGGCCCTTGAATTATACCAAGCCTCTTCTCCATACACCTATTAAATCATCCCTCGGATATTAAAAAAGTTTGTGCTGCATCTCCTCACTCTCTTGTTGCTTGCTCTGTGTGACTGGAACATGGCTCTGCTGAGACAATACTTGCCTGATACAGTAACTATTTGTGTGACAAACATACCTCGTACAATCCAGTTTCCCTCATTTTATTAAAATTAAATATGACTGAGATAAAAACCAACATCACAAATGCTAGGATTCATGAAATAATTAAAATGACCAAGATGAGTGATAATGTCTAATTACTACAGTTGCAAGATAAATAAACATTAAAAAAAATCCACATGAGACATTCCCATGTGAACTCCATTCCCATGTAGATAAGAACACCAGAATGCCAAATCTTGGGGAGGTTTCTCTTTGGCTGCTCTGTGGATAAGATATTTAGGAAATAATGTGGAATTGAGATTTTGGTTTTTCTAGATAAGCAAATTGTTTCATACTCTGTGGGGAAGTTGCTTGATCTTTTTCATGTGCCTTGTTAAAGAGGTGAGATCTCACTGGCTAACCATCTTCCCTCATCACAAGTTTCAGCATGACTAGACATGCCCAGTGCGCACATTTCTTGGAAAGAGATTGCGTAGTATCCCAGAAGCCGGTCATAAGCCTATTTCTCAAACTGAAACGAACAATTCATTTCAACTGGACCCAGGTTCCATGTTAGAAAATGTAAAGTGGTTTTTCTCATCTTTAGCTGTGCTAGCTTTTTAAATCTATAATCCAAAATGGCATCTCAGCAATGCCTTTCAGGTCATTAAAGACCTACAAGTATTTGCTTATTACAGTTCTAAGAGGGCCTTCCATAGACACAATGTTTGTGCCTTCTTCAGGTGGGACCTGTGCTTATTTCTCTCTTACTTTAGACTGTGCAGTCCTCTTCATTCCACAGTAAGCAGTTTTAAAGAGTAAAAATTTTGAATTGCATCTAGCAAGAGAAACTGAAGCAGAGGGAAATAATGACTTTCCTAAAAGCAATGATGATTCCTTTTGAACTTAAATTTCTAAGGTTTCCTAACACACCCCAGTTATTCAATTTAAAAAAATTCTAGCTATTTCTAAATCTTTGGTGTCACTTGATGATCTTTGAATGTAGTACTGATGACGACTTTTAAATCAACTACTTATTAAAAAGTCATCAACTCCCCAGTTCCATCCATCCATTGCTCCTGGTCAGTTAAGTGCCTCTACACCTCACTCAAGGCCAATTGCATGCAATGTACAGGCATGCCTTATTTTTATTGTGCTTTGCTTTATTGCACTTCACAGACGTGTTTTTGCAAATGGAAGAAAAAACCCTTCACAAACAAAAAGAT